TTGCTCCTGCTCCTGCTCCTCCTCTCCCTCCCCGGGGAACATCCAGCAAGAATCCAGGCCGGGAGATTTGACGTCAGGGAGCGCTTTCGTCCTTTTGACGTGGAAGCGCTCATTCCCATTCTGGCCGCGGCGGCTCTGAGCCCGGCTCCAGCATGAGAGAGGGAAGACGGCGACCGCGGCCAGGCACTTTCTTAGCAACTGCCCGCTCCTTCCTTTCCCGTGCCTGATCGCGTAGCAACCAGAGCCGAAGGGACTTTCCTCACCTTCTCCGGCCGACAATTCCCAATTTCTCCAGCTGTCTCACACCTGGAGTCCATTTCCTCCTCCTGGAACATCCCTTTCGCTCTCCCGGTGTCATGGAAAAGAGGTGCCGGGCAGGGCAGGGCGTTCTCGCGGCTCTGCTCTGCGCCTGGACTGTGGTCCTCCTGGCCAAGGCAGAGCGGCAGTTTGTCAACGAATGGGCAGCCGAGATCCCGGGCGGTCCAGAAGCGGCAAAGGCCATAGCGGACGAACTGGACTATGAGCTTCTGGGACAGGTAAGGCGCGACCCTTCCCCGCACCTTTCTTTTCCTTTCTTTTGTTAATTCGGGCAACTTTCCTCTTTCCCGAAGCAAAGAGAATGAGAAACGATGGATAATGAATCCCTCTGTAACTGGCAGGAGATGCAGTCGGTAAGAAACTGTTGCCTGTTTTGGCTTTGGGAAGAGCACTCCACACTTTTCCCTGCAATCTTTTCCAGAGACTCTCTGCCTTCAAGGATGCCTTCTTCCTCGTTGTTGTTGTTGTTGAAACGAGGAGCTTTTTAGTTCAAGAAGCAAGCTGTCACTCCTTGCTCCTGGTGAGAAACTTCCAAGTTCTTTCTCAGTTCTCTCCTGCCACATCTTCCTTCTACAGAATTGTCACCCCGGTTGTCTGCCACCTTACCACGGCTGCATTTCCCCCTTGAACAGATATTTATTTATTTATTTATTTATTTATTTATTTATTTGGCCACCCACCTCACAACTATGACTCTAAGCAGTGGGCAAGGATTAAAACGACAGCTATGGCCAATAACCTGTAGAATGACCTCTAAGGTAAAACAGGCCACCCCAGTCAAGACAAAGTTGAGGCAAGGAGTGATTTGGGGCTAAGGCTGAGGAGAGCTGCACACGCCAATGAGTTCTGCAAGGAAGCCTAATGTACTGGAGTGGAGCAAAATGCTGGAAATTGCAAGGCAGGGAGCAGAGAGACGCTCATTGGGTGAAAGCCCTCTGGGAACTCCACTTGGCTTGGCCTTAACCCTTTCAGCTTCCCAAATGCCATTGCTGAGGTTCTGGACTCTGATGTTCATGATCTCTTTCATATGTGGTGGGTTTAGGTTTAGGAGCAAGAGAAGAGAGTGTTCCTGGGTATAGGCAGGGCTCTGTTCTTCTGTACTGAATAGCTACAGACATTTGAGCTTATGCAAAAAGGAGTAACCAATGAGAGGGTCTAGGCAAAAATAAGTTACAGCACTTTCTCCCCTTCCTTAAAAAAACAATAAGCAAGATTTAGGAGGCTAAAGGCACAGCTACATTTAGTAATCCCTAGTCTTCTGCACTTGGGGGCATGTTTGCACCTCTGTGAGCTATCTCTAACATCTGTTTTCTCTTTTATCATCTTGGTTTGCTTATCTTAGCCAAGCTTTATGGTGTGGGTACTGTTTATGTATAAAATGTGGTGTGTGTGTGTGTGTGTGTGTGACTTAAATATATGGTGACTGACTCCTCACCAGTTTATAAATGGCCATGCTGGCAAATAAAAGTGTGCAAGATCTGATTCATTGCTGCCTTAGATGAACCAGCTCACTGTGTTATATAGCACAGGATGCTATCAAAATTGCACTGGCAACAAGTCAGAAAAACAGAAGAAACAGAGACAAAACATTCATATGAAAGACATCACAGATTTACTGACTATATTCACTTATATGCCAGAGATTGGGAGCCTTAGTTTTCTACAGCTTCTGGGAGATCAAGCCAGTATAGTCAGTGCTGGACACTGTAATTCAGCAATACATGGAGGACCACAGATATCCCAACCCTACTATATGTCAGCCTATCTCTCTATGCCACCAAGGAATCACCCATATTAAATCTAATCTTTCAGATAATACAGCATAATAAATTGTTACAAAAGGGTTGCAATTAATCATCTGCAATTAATTCCACTCTGCAGTCTTCCATAGGATATCTGTTTATTGGTGAGCCATTGTAGATATGCATACTCCCATCATCAGATTTCTTCTTGAGCAAATGAACTCATTCATAAGCTTAACAATATTCCTATTAAATACAGAATACTTAGTTTGAACCTGAGATCAGCACATGTCAGCATAAAATTTCATTTGAAATTTAGAATTCTGAGCTCGCCTCTGAAACTTGATTCATTGTATATATTATAATGCAAGTTATGCACACACACAGACACAGACACACACACATTCTCTCTCTCTCTCTCTCTCTCTCTCTCTCTGTTTCTCAATTTTGAAATCAGGAAGATAAAGTATGCACTGCTCTTTTTATAAACTTTTCTCTAAATGTGCATTTTAATATATGTAATGCCACAAATTTGCAAATACTGGTATATTTATTCCAGCATAAACACATTATGAAAAAATTAGGCAAGAATATGTTTTTTTAAAAATAAAATATATTATACCACTATGAAATCTGTTTATTTTCTATTGAGAAAATTCCTGATACAGTTTTAGTCATATCAAGCCACCTGTTATCTAATTGCATACATACAAATAACTTATATGGCATATAACATATATCTAATTTGTCACTGAATAACAACTACCTTTATAGTCCTGCATGTATATCCATGATCTGCTATGGATCATAACCAGTGGTTTATTTCTTTAGTAGTCCTTTTGTGCTTTATTGTTGTTGTTTTCCAGTATTTTTAACTTGAATTTAAAATAAAATAAAATAAAATGTACTTTCATGGAAAAGCTTGAAGGGAACACATCACTATGGAGCTAGATCATACCCTAAGTGTGACACTAAACTGAGAACAAACTAATTGGGAAAGGAAACCATAGTCTAATTCAAGTATGATGAATATTTCTCTGAGCTATCAGTGTAAGTGCTGTAGTATAGCTATTTACTAACTCCCATCAGATACATGCAGAAGTTGTTGAATTACTTATAGTTATGGCATGGAGCACATACATAGACATACACACCACCACCACCAAAGCAGAAGCTTGTTTTTAGCAGCAGCCATTCTGCTTTCATAATATCTGAATCAGCCAACTTCTGCATCTCCAGAAGCTCACATTTCCTATCCCAATTAAAATTCCAATATCAATTGATACTGAACAGAATGTAGACTAATCAGATTGCTATTCAGCTGAAGGTAAAAATCACTCAATCACTAGCATTTGTTTTAAAACTTCCTGTATAACAGCATTGTGTAAAGCATTGTGTAAAGAAACAACCATTTGTAGTTTTGAACAGTTGGTACCTGTATCTACAAGCTTCTTGGTAATTTCTTACTGTCGCAGTTAAATAGAGATAGCCTGTTTTTCATACATGAAATTTTAAAACAGTATCAAGTAGTAAATAGCATGCTATTTCTCACCAGTAATAAATATTTTACATTTCTAGGATCATATTTATCAAAGGATTCAGATCACTGTATAAAGTCACTGGAGGAGAAAGAAAACTTACTCCTCTATCAAAATGTTTTGAAGTAATATCAAGATTTAGATCAATAACTGACAAGTAAATCTCTTCTGGAAATGCTAAGCACTTGAACACTGTATAGTAAAAATAAGGTTTCAGAGCAAGCAACCATTTTTGCCATTTTATTTATTTAAAGATTGAAAATTTAAGGCACGCACATTTCATAGAAAAACATATAGGAAGAAATGTCAGTAGCAGACCATTTAATTATAGCAATATGAACAATTCTACCATAATTTTCTGCTAATCCTAGGCTTAGTTATTGTGAACCAGTGATGAGAATTAGAGCAACTAAACACATTGTATTCAGGGTTCATATATTAATTCTCTTAATGTCATGAAAAAAAACCCTATGAAATCCCATAAAGCAGGAAGACGAGGGGAGATTATTATAGGAGATGAGAAATTCTTAACTAAGAACTAAGGGCACAGCCACAATGTGCTATCCTCAAGTCCTGGAGTTGGTGGGAAAGTATTCCAGCATAAATTGCACTGTCCCAGGAATTAGAGCAGGGAGTGCTGCTGTTCTCACCATTTTGATGCAGGTAAAGTTAAGAAAGGTGATAGATGGGTTCCCCTGGTTTTGTTCCCCATCCCACAGAACATTACCCTCTGGTAGGAAAAATGTCTAATTTCTCTCCTTAAAGTTTGGTGGGGTGGGGTGGGGTGGGGTGGGGTGAGGTGCACTGCTGCTCAGCATCTCTAATCTGCCAGGCAATTTCTAAATATGAGTCTAGCACTCTTTTGAAACAGCATTAAACCTGTGCTCCAAAGTTGATCAGCTGATAGGTCACAGGGGCAGAGGAGGAGCACAGGATGAAGTGGAAGGACCCTCTCCTTCACATTGGGAAATGGAGGTTAGAGAAATGGAATGAAAATAATAGAATGCACTTCAATAGAATTTAAAGTAAAATTACTAACTTAGGAAACAAAATCAAATGCACAGACATAGTATAGAGCTTGAGAATAGTACTTGTGAAGAAAAGCTTGGAATAGTATTTCATTTTTATATTTATACATTCTAATATTACTTTGACAGCCAGCTTAATGTAGAGGCTAAATAGATAATATAGAGGCTAAATTTTATAAGCCAGGAGATTGTGAGTTCTAGTCCTGCCTTAAACATGAAGACAACTGGGTGACTTTGGGCCAGTCAC